AACTTTTTCACCTCGATTTCAGTAGAAATTTCATGTTCTTGTTGTCGGCTTTGTTAACATTTTCTCTGATTTTCCGCTGACTTCTCTCTCTCTTTCTTTCTTTCTTTTCAGTCGAAAGAATCATCCTCGTGCTGAGCTGTGACATATTCTGTGGACGACAAGTACATTGTCACCGGTTCAGGGGACAAAAAGGCCACAGTCTATGAGGTCATCTACTAGAAATATGGGAGCGAAAGCGGGAGACACACTATTCCAACACACACTTGACATATTTAAGAAACATTTCACGTGGAGCCGGAAAGTGCAGACAGAGAGGGACCTTGGTGGCGCTGTGTTTTCTGTCACATCTGCGGCAGGGACAAAGAAAGGAGACAAACGGTGCACGTGCAGAATCTGCTGCCTGCGTGCGCTGCGACGTGTCAGTGAGGAACTAATGCCAGCTGGATGTTAATGAAGAAGAGGAGCTGTTTGGATTTTTCTGTCTCTCCTGATTTCTTCTCTCTGTCTGGGATCAGTTACAGGGACCCAACAATGATGAACCAAAAGGGGTGGGCTGTGCTATTTAGACTGGGACTAGCTCTGCTGGACATCAGAATTTAAAACACTCTTGACCTGCCGAGAACGAACACTCAACGAGGTGGTTTGAATATGTGGACAAATGGCCGCCAGAAACCGTGGTAAAGATTGAGACGGGGGAGAACGAAGTGTTACAGACTGCAGAAATGTGGGTTTGTATTCGTTTCCTGACAGATAAAGCCCACACAGGTCGATCTCTCAGCTCTGACTCTGACCTCAGAACCTCAGCTGCTATTCTGATACGCCTACACTGTCTGGAAAAAAAAAAAAGAAGTACTTTTGCTGTCTTAACAGTGAGTCTTATCCAACATCTGCACTGTAGTGGTTGCCGCCCACCTACACGCTCAGCAAACACACACAATGTCACAACAGCTGAAACATTCTGGAGGCGTGTTAAATGTGACGGGTTTTGTTTGACCTGATCGTGAAGAAAAGTATGTTTTCATGATTCTTCAGCGACGTACTCGATTAAAAACATTTGCATACCAACAAATAAGCTCAGAGGGAGCAAATGATTAAGATGCCGTTACAGAAGTTTAATCTGATTCTGGTTTAGAGACATCATGAGTGGAAACCTGACGCAAGTGAAAGTGTCTGTAAGTGAATGAATAAATATTCTCCTCTCCTAACGTATGCTGTCGACTCCAAAAACAAACATAAGTCATGCAGAAGTTCCTCTGAACTTACTCATCTCCAAATGAAGCCACATTGTGTGTTAACATGTACCGTGACCGAGCCCCATCTTTCTTCAAATATCACTGAAATGACATTTCAGAGAGAGAAATGTTAAAAGCTTCAAATTACAAAAAAAAAGCTTATTGGAGTCTAGCCATGGCCAATGCTTGTGTTGTTATTTAGCTTCTGGTCTATTTCAATACAAATTCCTGGATGAGGTCATAACAGTTGAAATGAATGGCCTGGGATTATCTTCCTCTTCCTTATTTTAAAAATAAATAAAGGTTTCTATCTTAAGCGTTTCATTTTCACTCTGACCCTGCCTACGTCATGTTTACTGTTCTGACGGTCGTTATCTTCGTTAAAAGAGACCCATCTATCCCTCCACAAAGATCCACCGATGAGTAAATTAACTTCAACAGACGAAGTCAACAAACTCGATCTTATTGCCTTTCTTTTCACTTCCACGTGTTTCTGCTGTCATTCTTGAATGTGGAGCATTTGTGACATTGCCTTTTAAAAGTACCGACTGTGTTATGTTGTCTTTCACTTCACAGACAAAATTTCAGACGGCAGAAGTTACATATTTTTTATTTTGAGGATAGTTTTCTAGAGAAGGGGATTAAAGATGCTGCTGTGTTTCAGCTTCAGGAAGGATTCAGTCCATTTCAGCCATTTGAAACTCTTCATTTCAAGACGTGCTTCATTTTTTTAAAAATCTGTCTGTTGAATGTTTGTAAAAATGTATATATGTTGTTTTTTTTTTTCTTACAGGACATGCTTTAGAATTAACTGTTTTTGTACGTCTTTTACATGAAAAAGAAACGTCTAATCAGGAGAAATACTAAATGGTCTTAATGCTAGCTAATCTGAAATGATTAAAATATCTAGACAATAAATGTGGTTTGTTTTTTTGTAACTCGAGTATTCTTTGACTTCTTTGGGGTTAGCGGAAGAACTCGATCTGACGGTATTGAAACCGTCTCTCAAGGATAAATTCAACGGTTTTGTTTAGAGGAGCAGCCTCGTGAACAGGAGGAACTTAGGATAACGGTTGATCTCATATAGCTTTGGATTCCACTGTGAAGGAGTTTGCGCCAATTTTTCCATCCTTCCATTATCTATACTACTTTTTCCGCGTTTGGGGTCAAGGGGGTGCTGGAGTCACCAATTTACCTAACGAGCATGTGTTTGGACTGTTGGAGGAAGCCGGAGTACCCGGAGAGAACCGTGCATGCCCGGGGAAACATGTAAACGCACACAGAGAGGCCTGTGCGACGGGGATTCATACCTCCTCTCTGTGAGACAAAAACACTCACCACTGCACCACCCTGCAGCCCCCTGTGGTTAAAAATACAAACGAGAATTTATAACTGCTTAATTCTGGTGTCTTAACATCTGTGGTGGGAGAGGTGTTGGCATAAATGAACTTAAGTCATCAGTTTGGAAGCCTAAGTCTAAATACATCAACATTTTATTTACATTATTTTTACTTGACTTATTTTCCTCATTACCTTTGGATAACAAAGCTATTTCTTCAGTTAAAACAGACTGATTGATCTCATTATGAAGGTAATAAAGTTTGTTTTCTCGTAACAACGGGGTCATTTCTGGCAATCTAAAAACAAAGCAACATGCTGGTGGTCTCTGTGACGGGTCAGACTCCAACATGCTTGCTGCCAGTGCTCACACTAACGAGGTCAGTAGGTGTTTGGGGATACGAGATAATAAGTAAAATCAAATGATAATTAAAGAGGGATTCGGTAAATCAGAAGAGAGGCAAAAAGATAAGCAATTAAAGCAACTGGAATTTCTTGTTTGTTTATTTGTGCAGGTAAATTAAAACAACAGCGCTTTCTTACCAGCTTCCGTTCTTCTTGTAAGCAGAGGTTAACTTCAGGTTTTGTCACACAGCTCGTCTCTGAAAAATGAAATCTTATCCATCTCGTCAGCACTGGAGTTGCACTGAAGCTCACTTGAACCTCCCTGTGCGTATACGTTTCCAAATATAACAAGTTCCTTTAGATTCTTTCAAAAGATGTTGAGATGTGCGTGTCTCTGAATCCTGCTGCCTCTTTTTTAAACATCCGCAGCCTGTGTGAAGGTGACTTTGAAGAGGGGAAAACTGAGTCACACTGAAATGTTCCAACGACATTCGATAATTTACATGACATCCTGCAAGATGCTGCGTCAGAATGTGAAGCAAACTAGAATCGACAGTAGTTGGATTTCTCTTTTTGTCTTCCACTTCAACGAGTTCTCAGAATGACTTTTTAAAAGCTTTACAAATGTATGCTATAAAAATAGAAAAGGGAAAAACAGGGACGATATATAACAACTCAAATGTGTCATTTTCTTTGCAATAAAAGAAACATATACTAAGTATTATAAAGTATTATACTTGAAGTTAGTGAGGAAAGTATAAGCGAGACAAAAATGGTGCACAAATGCTATTTAGCTGGTCTGTGTTCTCCCAGTGGTGGTTCTAGACACTTTTACTGAGGGGGCCAAACTGGGGTCAGTTGTTTTGTCAGAGGGGAATATTAAACCAGGTCAAAATAGACAAAGATGATTGCTTTAAAAAATATATAAATATTATGCAAATAATAGCACACATCATTAAATACCATGATTAATATATGTTTTAGTAACAGAATTTAATACTAGATCGTGCGTCTGGCAGTTGATTCAAATACTGTGTATGTCCTTTTGGAGGGGTGGCCGCAGGGGGGGGGGGGGGGGCAATCTCAGTGTTACAGGGGCACTGGCCCCTGTTGGCCCTGCCTAGAACGCCCATGGTTCTCCCACATATTTAATGCACCACTGAACAGTGAGTACCAAGTTGGGCCGCTCAACCCAATCACAAATGTCTGGAGGCACTCCTGATCACCCACAAATACCAGCAGACAGTCTTCAGCATTATGTGAAAAGACTTTGAAAATTGTGGTGGCTTTTATGTCCACAAAAGGGAGTCCAACATGTTAATAACCATGGTTACAGAAAAGGGCTGTGGATGTAGGGTAACAGAGGATTCTATAGGAAGTGAAATTGGATACGTTGCATTGCGTTGGGATGCGTTGCCATGTCTTGGGATGTGTTGCCATGTGTTGGGATGTGTTGTGATGTGTTGGGATGCGTTGGGATGCGTTAAGATGTGTTGGGATGTGTTGGGATGCGTTAAGATGTGTTGGGATGTGTTGGGATGTGTTGGGATGCGTTGTGATGCGTTGGGATGCGTTGTGATGTGTTGTGATGTGTTGGGATGCGTTGGGATGTGTTGGGATGCGTTGTGATGTGTTGTGATGTGTTGTGATGTGTTGGGATGTGTTGGGATGCGTTGTGATGTGTTGGGATGCGTTGGGATGTGTTGGGATGCGTTGGGATGCGTTGTGATGTGTTGGGATGCGTTAAGATGTGTTGGGATGTGTTGGGATGCGTTGGGATGCGTTGTGATGTGTTGTGATGTGTTGGGATGCGTTGGGATGTGTTGGGATGCGTTGGGATGCGTTGGGATGTGTTGGGATGCGTTGGGATGCGTTGTGATGTGTTGTGATGTGTTGGGATGCGTTGGGATGTGTTGGGATGCGTTGGGATGCGTTGTGATGTGTTGGGATGCGTTAAGATGTGTTGGGATGTGTTGGGATGCGTTGGGATGCGTTGTGATGTGTTGGGATGCGTTAAGATGTGTTGGGATGTGTTGGGATGCGTTAAGATGTGTTGGGATGTGTTGGGATGTGTTGGGATGCGTTGTGATGCGTTGGGATGCGTTGTGATGTGTTGTGATGTGTTGTGATGTGTTGGGATACGTTAAGATGTGTTGTGATGTGTTGTGATGTGTTGTGATGTGTTGTGATGCGTTGGGATGCGTTGTGATGTGTTGGGATGCGTTGGGATGTGTTGGGATGCGTTGCGATGTGTTGCGATGTGTTGGGATGCGTTGCGATGTGTTGGGATGCGTTGCGATGTGTTGGGATGCGTTGCGATGTGTTGGGATGCGTTGCGATGTGTTGGGATGCGTTGGGATGCGTTGGGATGCGTTGCGATGCGTTGGGATGCGTTGCGATGCGTTGGGATGCGTTGTGATGCGTTGGGATGCGTTGCGATGTGTTGTGATGCGTTGGGATGTGTTGGGATGCGTTGCGATGTGTTGGGATGCGTTGTGATGTGTTGGGATGCGTTGTGATGTGTTGGGATGCGTTGTGATGTGTTGGGATGCGTTGTGATGTGTTGCCATACTGATACTGATACTCTGTATGATTGTATATAGAGTATTGCAAGACAATCATATTATCCATCACAGTATCTTGTTGACTGAAGAATAATATATTTCTTATCATGCTTCATTCTTTAACTTCTTTCCATCGCTGTTCAATATTATCCCGCTCTTTTTGTAAGACTGCTGTAGTTCCTTTAAAATTAAAATACTGAAATTCAGGAGCAGTGATTTGATAATTGTATAAAGTCAGGATGATGATATATCGCCTTGTCGAATTTTTTAATACAGCTCAACATAAGTCAAACAAGCAGCGATGAATGAAAAGAGGGGGGGGGGGCAATCTCAGTGTTACAGGGGCACTGGCCCCTGTTTGGCCCCTGCTAGAACCGCCCATGGTTTCCCACATATTTAATGCCACCACTGACCAGTGAGTACCCAAGTTGGGCCGCTCAACCCCAATCACAAATGTCTGGAGGCACTCCTGATCACCCACAAATACCAGCAGACAGTCTTCAGCATTATGTGAAAAGACTTTGAAAATTGTGGTGGCTTTTATGTCCACAAAAGGGAGTCCAACATGTTAATAACCATGGTTACAGAAAAGGGCTGTGGATGTAGGGTAACAGAGGATTCTATAGGAAATGAAATTGGATACGTTGCATTGCGTTGGGATGCGTTGCATGTGTTGGGATGCGTTGCATGTGTTGGGGATGTGTTGGGATGCGTTGCGATGTGTTGGGATGCGTTGCCATGTGTTGGGATGCGTTGCCATGTGGGGGATGCGTTGCCATGTGTTGGGATGTCGTTGCCATGGTGTTGGGAATGCGTTGCGATGTGTTGGGATGTGTTGCCATGTGTTTGTGATGTGTTGTGATGTGTTGTGTGTGTTGGGATGTGTTGGGATGCGTTGGGATGCGTTGTGATGCGTTGGGATGCGTTAGGATGCGTTGGGATGCGTTGGGATGCGTTGGGATGCGTTGGGATGCGTTAAGATGTGTTGTGATGTGTTGGGATAGTTAAGATGTGTTGGGATGCGTTGTGATGTGTTGGGATGCGTGTGATTGTTGGGATGCGTTGTGATGTGTTGGGATGCGTTGTGATGTGTTGCCATACTGATACTGATACTCTGTATGATTGTATATAGAGTATTGCAAGACAATCATATTATCATCACAGTATCTTGTTGACTGAAGAATATATATTTCTTATCATGCTTATTCTTTAACTTCTTTCCATCGCTGTTCAATATTATCCGCGCTCTTTTTTGTAAGACTGCTGTAGTTCCTTTAAATTAAAATACTGAAATTCAGGAGCAGTGATTTGATAATTGTATAAAGTCAGGATGATGATATATCGCCCTTGTCGAATTTTTAATACAGCTCAACATAAAGTCAAACAAGCAGCGATGAATGAAAAGGTCAGGTGGTCGACTCTCAGGTTGAAAGAAGTCATCCTGGCTTTGCATTTACTCTGACTTTTCTGGAAAGAGACTCGAGCGCCCTTTAAGTTTTGTATCTTTGTTTTCCCGTCAATACGAGTCCTGCTTCCTCTATTTCCTCTATATTGCTCTCAGGGTCCTGCCACTTGTGCTCCTGAAGAGCGGATAAGTGGGTAAAAGTGAAGAATGAAGAAGCTGGGTGGCCCACTCCACTTGGATGATTGAGTCTGCAGAGAGAGAGTGAGAGAGTGAGAGAGAGAGAGAGAGAGAGAGAAAGAGGGGTTTAAAGTGAGTTTTTGTGTGTTTTTTCTTACTATATGTAGTATTGATATGGAGGTATAGATAATACAGAACACAGCAGCTGTTCAAATCAACTGTGTGTTAAATAATCAAGTCCAATCCCCTGCTTAAAACTAACACCCACAACAAACAGACAAGCTCCCTCTTCCCTGATGTAAACTGTAAATCTGATTAATTACTGTGAATATATAATTCTCTGTCTATCCCCGGCTCTGGTCGCACACACGCTTACACACACACAAACACAAACACTGACAACGTTGTGCAGAATGAGGTGATTATGTGGCAATTACAGCAGTCACAGTGACAAAATGAAAGCTGATCCTTGGAGAGAGAGAAAAAAAAAGAAGCAGAAAATGTCACACCAAGTTTTCAGTCCGTCCGCAGATTTCTGAGCTCTGAATCACAGCGTTCTCTTTTGATCATCACCGCTGCTGCCTCTCTCCGATACACAGACGGATTATTCCCCCCTAAATCTCCCAAATCCCTAATCCTATTTATCTCGACGCTGCTCAGCTTATGTGTACAGTATGGATGTGAGCGTACTTGTGTTTCTACATTTGTGAGGACCGGGTCAGGACACGAGTAACATTTCTGGCCGTGCTCACTTTGAAGGAGCTGTGTTGAGGATT